TTCAGAGGTCTCCTTGTCTCTGCTCTACACTGATTCCACTACTACCACTCTCAAATGTCTTCTAATTATGAGAACACCACTCAGTCCAATCTTTGTTAGAGTAGTGGGGTTTAATGGAACAAGGACAGATCCTCTAGGCAAAAGGCTTTGGCTCTTTGTATCTGGGCAAAGTATTTCACAGACTCACGTTATATATTTGGTTCCCATGCCTCTCTCATACTTACAGTTCTTTGAAAATAGGGATCATATCCTCAGATGCCTCTTTAATTGTAAGGGTATGTTTAAGAAGAAAACTGAGGAAGCCTGATATAAATTATCTTTCAGAATCAGATCCTTTAAAAAAAAAACTGAGGTTTTTGATTGGGAAGTAGCAATGAAGAGAAGAAAAAGTACCACTCAGGTCAAAACAGATAAAATCTAGAATCTAGGAGGTGAATTCTTCTGACTTCACAATCTGTGGTAAGGCTGACCCTCTTAAAGCCTTTCTTATAGCAGTTGCCAACCGCGTGTTGCCAGTGGACACCATATAACCCTCTGAATATACTCATTCTGATTAAGAGTTCGAAATTATCATTTATGGATTCTCCCCAAATGTCAGCTAAACAACACTCTTCAGGGATTTATTACTTCTTATCTTTCAGGAAGATCTGAAATATCATGACATCTCCTAATGTTTTTAACCACAGTTCCCTTGGGAACCTGCACAGTGGGTTCCATAAGACATGAAGTGCTTTCATTTTTACTGAACACATGACTGTCCCAGTATCTCCCTTCTGCCCATCTACTGTATATTCAGGGACCCAGAAGATTCCTTTCTATTTATTTGTCCATTTCAAAACAGGAAGAAATCCATATTCTTTTCAATTACTCACTTACATCCCAATATATAAGAAAAATTCCCTTAAAAATAAGTCCTCAGACAGACCTGAGCTGAAGGCAGACTCTTAACTGACACAGCCACCCATGTGCCCCGACCTCACTTTTTTCTTGAAAGGTGGATACCCAGGGGTGCACTAGACATCTTGTAGTTATGAGGATAAAAATCCCACACTAGGGGTGATGGAGGAGGAAGCCAGTTAAGAGCCAAGGCTCTGTGCTTAGAGTATCACTGAGCTGCCATCCTAACTCACAGCTTCTCATACAAGACAAGTCTTTTTCTTGCTTAAACCACTATTCACTTGGTTTTGCTAATACGTGCAGCTAATGCATTAAGACCGTTCCATCTCCACCTCCCAACACTTGTGCAAACACTACAAACTTAAAGCTTTTCTTTTCTTTTTTTTTTTTTAAGATTTTATTTATTTATTTGAGGAAGAGAGAAAGTGAGAGACAGAGCACCAGCAGAGGGAGGAGGAGAAGGAATGCAGACTCCCGCTGAGCAGGCAGCCCAACATGGGACTGGATCCCAGGTCACCTGAGCCAAAGGCAGATGCTTAACCCATTGAGCCACCCAGGTGTCCCCTAAAGCTTTTTCATCTATTGTTATTATTAATGATCTTCCACTATCAGCAACATAAGATACATTATAATGCTTTAAAGACCCAAAGACACATTTAAAATATGGAAAGACTTAAGTTTCTTTCATTCTACATATTCACTGAAACTAGTGGCTCTCTTCACTGAATGAATTTCAACATTTAAAAAATTAATTTAAGCCTGAAAATCGTATTTATACAAAGATAGCTTCTAAACTCATCAAATACCTTCACACACTTATTTTTTAATGATGTTCTTTTTTTCTATCCCAATTTGCAATATATTGCAAATTATCAAATCCTAGTCTGTAATCTTTTATGTAGTCCTAAAGAACACAATGAATTCTTCTCCCTAGAGTCATTAAATCCAGTCATATGTAATTTAATGCCTGGAGACACTTAACTGCTGCTGACATTTTCGACACCAGATGTAATTAGTAACCTAGAATTCTTCTCCAAAACTACCTATGACATATGCGAAGACCTAAAATTGTGACTCAAGATTAAAGTCTTACTAACCTTTTCTGTAAAATATTAAAGCTGTCTAATCTCATATTTTTGCAAATATAACAAGGGAAACTGAAAATGCCATTAGCAATGGCAAGTTATGACCATTTCATACCTGGATAAAACAAAAATGCTTTTTCATGTATTCATGTAATTCAGAACAAACTGGTTATTTTATTCCTCTGAGGAATTGCTTCAAATTGTTTGAGATGTAACTTAAAAGAAAGCTGAGGTACGAATGACCACCAAAGAAATGGGAGACTTTCCTAAAAACCATCATTTTAACCATGTCATTACTGTGCTCAAAATCTTTAATAGCTCTTTACTACTTCCATAAATTCAAACTCTGTGGCCTGTCCTCCCTTTCCAGCTTTACTCCTCCCTATTATCCCACCCTGGTCAAAATTACTCTATTTATTCCAAAAGAATTTCATACTACTCAATTTTTTGTAAGGATATTCACAACAGTTATTACACAAAGAAATTATGTTAATTTAGAAACAATTTAAGGTCAAAAGAACATCCAAATACCAAATTACCATTAAAAAGGTAAAAAAAAAAAAAAAAAAAGATGAATCACAGACATGTTTCCTGAAGGAAATAATACATTATATGTTAATAAAAAAAAAAATCCTCAACCAGAATTCAGATAACCTCAGATATTTAGAATATAACTAAGTCTGACATATATACCTAAATCTAGATATTCCAGAAAGAGCTCTAGTACCTTCTCTAAAATATGGGGACTGAAGAAATCCCACTGAAGTACACATCCTATTTGTATATATGCTAAAAATGTGTTTCTACCTTCAGATAATACGGAGCTCAGAAAAATAAAACATGTGGTTCGATTAAAAAAAAAAAAAAAAGTCATGTTCTCCAAGAACATGGAGACATGCTTACAGACCTATTTTAAAAATTGAGAACTATGGCTACTTTTTAAGATGCTACAAAGAATAACAGGTTATTTTAGAAATACCAAAAGCACATCATTACTACTATAAAACAGCTAGGTAGCATAGTTCAGAAGTACATATTCACCATAATGAAGACATAACAGAGAAATAGTATTGGCTACAAATAATAATCACAGAACTGGCTATATTGCCACAAAGAATTATTATTATTATTATTTTTGCCACCAAGAATTAAACGTAATAGAAACAACGAAATATCTAAGTTCTTAAATACATCTTTAAAGAATACAACTATAATTTATTCCTGCAAAAAAAACTATTGATGTGCTAAATGGATCTTATTTTTCAAAAGACTAAAAAGTAACTCCAGCAAGGTTTGGGGGTTCCAAGAAGCACTCTTGGAATTTTATTACCACCAAACCCATAATATTTCAGTATATACTTAATAAATGAAATAAATTATCTAAAAAAAGGGGATTGGTTCCTTTAGGACATAGCCTGCCCCCAACACCCCTGGCTCCAGCCATAAAATTCTGAAACATTGTGGGCTTAGTATAGATACTCTGTAGATAATTTTGATAAATGCTCTAAATCTTTAATGGACTACTAGATTTATGCAAAACACAAGAAGCACATAATAATTACGATTAAAACTTTTATTCAGAATATTCAGAAACTACCAACTCATTTTGGAAACAAATTAACCAATAACTAGTGACAATTTTTATTCATTTAAGGGCTCAAAACAATCCAACCAAATCCAATTAAAACATGTTGAGAGCAAAGCACTATTTTTGTTTAATTCTAGCATTTAAAATATTTTAAAAGTCTTTACAGTTTTTTCAGTCTTGCAATTTAGGTGACTGTTTGTTTCCTTCCTTCTTATCAAAAAAGAAACCATTACATTAAAAAGAAAAAAATACACTAAAAAAAAAAAAAGAAACCAGAACTCTAAGTCCTTCATACACCAAAAGCATAGCCCAAATCCATTCTTTTTTCTACCTCCTCAGCTACCACCTAGTTACAGTAACCAACAACGCCCCTAAATGCCTCCTAACCAACCTCTCTCTAGGTTTACTCTTGTCTTCCTATAATCCTTTGTCTATACAAGTAGAACATTTACTGCAAAATGTACACAAGATCATGTCTTAAAACTCTCCCACCACAAATAATGAAATTCAAACCCCTTACAAGATTAAGCGTGACTCTCTAGCTCTCATATCATGCTCTCGCCATACTAGCCTTCTTTTTCGTTCCTCAAACTCACACGCCCTCACACATCCGCTGCTGCCTTTGCTGGAAATGCCTTCCACCGCCTCATTTCCCCAGAGTCCATGTGGCTTGCTCCTCTTCACAATTCAGGCCTTGTCTTCAGTGAACGGTCGTCAGACTTAGCATATAAAAATTAGGTAAATACTTGAAACAAACAAAATTATTCACTATTCATCTGAAATTCTAACTGGGGTATCCTGCACTCCAGTGTCATCTCTTTAGAGGTTTTCCTTATTATCACCAGCTCTGAAGAATCTGTTCTATCATAATCCTATTTTTTTCATAGTATCTGTCAATCTCTGGAAATTACCTCCTTCACTTCTTTGGTTTACCCATTTATTGTCATTTTCTATCTCCATTCTGTAACATGTATTTCAGTTCTCTCTTCTTTTAACCCTCATGCTAAACCTCTACTCCATGCTAACACCATAAAATCAGGGTCTTTTCTTTTTTTGGACTGTTTCCTGAAACTAACACAGCACCTAGTATAAGGTAAGCACTCATAAAACATCTACCAAATGAAAGAAGGCTCTAAATTTTCTTGCTCTCTAAGGTGTTTAGAATTCTTCCTAATTCCATCCCTGTGAAATAACTTTAAAGCTCTAGAAGGAAAATTAGAAAAGGTTTCTAATGCAAGCAAGTGATCTGAACACCACAGTTTTATGAGATTCATTTTTTCGCTATTGTGCTACATTAAGACAAATAAGAGCTGTTCACAATTGTTTGTACATGAACAAAAATAACTCTATAAATATAGAAACATTATTAAAGGTATGTTTATAGAACGCAAAACTTTAGAAAGATGTAAAACTATGCAAATCTACTGTACCGTCTTAATAGAACTCCTTTGTTTTTCTTCCCAAACACCACTGCTCAACTCGAGTGTACAATGAATATTTGCCTCTCTGTCATAGGATCCAAAAATGAGTAACCTGCAGTATAAAAATAAAACAGGGAGACTATTACACCAGTTATACACAATAAAATTATTCTGATTACAATGCCAAGAAATAACAAACTACTCCATTACTATTTATAATTTTGGAAACAGAAAAAAAAATTACGTCAAACACTTAGTACACCCTCTAGTGGAAAAGTGAAGTAAAGCCAAATTTAGGTGAAATTCCAGGACAAACTCTTTCTTCCCAGCGAAATCAAGCAGAAAGTAGTATGTATTCATGAGGTAAACAAACTGACCAGATATCTATAGATTGTAGCAAAAGTTACAGATCTTTGAATGAGACTGTTGAATTTAAAAAATTAGTTGCAGAGTGATACACATAGTACCATACCACCCCTATAAAAACACACACTTAAGATAGTACAATATAGTTACTTATGAACATACCCACACACTTCTCCATCTAATAGTGGGAAGTTAGGCAAATTAACTTCTCAAAACCCATCTCTTTCTCTGAAAAATTCAGGGCAAAAATAATACCCCTTAGAGCTGTTACGAGAACAAAAGAAGGCAAATGCATACACGGCATTTAGTACAGCACCTGGCAGACCCTAAGTGCTCCACAAGTGTTTGCTATTTCTATTATCCTGAACACAACTGTCAAGGAATACCTGCATCACCTAATTTTACTGTTTAATATTCAGAACTAAAAAGGAAATCTCAGGCCCAATCTTGAGATGATGTAAGCAGTTTTATTATTGAAGGAAAAAAATATTACCCTCATGTCTAGCTTCCCTATTACCTGTCTTCTAAATCAGAACATAAGTCTACCAATGTATTTCAGGACTAAGTTTGAGAATAGCTTTAGCGTTAATCAACATTTTGACTACTTCTCTGTTATCTGATGTCCACACAAAGATCATGGGGGTAAAAGTGAGATTAAAAAAAAAAAAAAAAAAAAAGAGCGGCGCCTGGGTGGCTCAGTGCGTTAAGGCCTCTGCCTTCGCCTCAGGTCATGATCCCAGAGTCCTGGGATCGAGCCCCGCATCGGGCTCTCTGCTCAGCAGGGAGCCTGCTTCCTCCTCTCTCTGCCTACTTGTGATCTCTGTCAAATAAATAAATAAAATCTAAAAAAAAAAAAAGGTAAATAAAACATATTAGAGTAATATGAGAAAACCGTGTCCTAAGGTTGGAGACTGCTAGCAAATCATGTCCATACTTCACAAACTGGCTTCATCAACTAAAAACCTGAATAAACTCATGGCAAAATGAAGACAAAAACAACTCTAAATTTAGATAGTTTTTAATCTTAAAAGTAAATTTAAACTTAGTGCTTAACAGCCTACTGCCAAAAAGTTAAGATTCATAATTATAAAATACTGTTTAGAAAAATGAGAATTTTCATTCATCAAAGCTCTGCTGCCACCATCTGTTCAAAAGAGTAAACTACCTACAAGCCTTTACTATCATGCACAGAAGGGTAGGCACTAGCTAATGCTCCTCAATTCCCAAAATATATTAATCTTCAGGATTTAGGAATGAGAAAGCACATTTATCAGAATCCTTCCCTGAAACAATAACACTTCTGTCATACTTTTATAACACCATTTTAATGTTTTTTTTTTTTAAAGAATAACACAAAACTTAACACTGATTAACTCAAAATGAGTCACAGACCTAAATGTAAGAGAATCTTTGTGACCTTGACTTAGGCAATGGTTTAAAAACGGAAAGCAAATGTACAAGTACCGAAGGGGGGAAAACAAATAAATGGGACTACAAGAAAATTAAAATTTTGTGCTTCAAAGGACATCATCGAGTAAGTGAAAAGACAATTCACAGAATGGGAGAAAATATATGCGAGTTAGGTATCTCATAAGGATTTATTATAATTCAATTTAAAATTGGACATTTCTCCATAGAAGATATGCAAATATCCAATAAGCACATGAAAACAGGCTCAACGTCATTAACCCTCAGGGAAATGAAAATCAAAACCACAATGAGATGCCGCTTCACACTCACTAGATGGCTAATCAAACAAGGAGACAAGTACTGGAGAGGATGTAGAGAAACAAATACTTGTACCTTGCTAGAGGGAAGTAAAATGGTGCAGCCACTTGGAAAAAATAGTTTGGCAGTTCCTTAAAAAAGTTAATATATGATGCAGCACATCCATTCCTGGTATATAACCAAGAGAAATGGAAGTGTACATTCATGCAAAACTTAACATCCATGTTCACAGCAGCATTATTCTTAATAGCCAAAATGTGAAAAACCCATAAGTCCATCATCTGATGAAGAGGGAAATAAAATGAGGCATATTCATACGATGGGATATTACTGAGCAATAAGAAGAAATGAATTAATGATATATGCTACAATATGAATGAACCTCAAAATCACACTAAATGAAAGAAGCCAGTCACAAAAGACCACATACTGTATGAATCCACATTTATATAAAAGGTTTGGAGTAAGCAAATTTATAGAGACAGAAAGTAGATTAATGGTTCTCATGGCTGGGGAAGAAAACTGGGGGAATAGGGATTGACTGCTAATGGGTATGGGGTTTCTTTAGCAGGGACAAAAATGTTCTAAAATTAGATTGTGATGATGGTTGTACAACCCTGTGAATGTACTAAAACATAATGAATTGTACACTTTACACAGATGAATTGTATGGTATGTGAATTTACCTCAATAAAGCTGATTAAAAAAAAGAATAATGCATGATATCATGACAATCAACAGTAATGATTATTAGGGTTACACTAAAACTTTTAAACACTTTAACGTTTGTTACAAAAAGATATGATAATACTTGGTTTATCATAACTATGAATCAATATACTGTGACAAGATTCGTATTTCAGTAAAACGTAACTGTGATTTTTATCTGGCATTTGATAACAGAAAACGTTAAAAGGGTATCCTGAAACAAAATAAATTCCAAATGAAAATCATTTAAAATATTGAAACACCACATATATATTTAACGTTTAATAGTTATTCTAAACAGAGAAATTTTAAAGTTGCCCTAATAAACCTGACCCCAGACAGAGAAAGCTTTAATTTTGCATTGCTAACAACTGGTTAATCCAACTGTTAAAAGTATTTCCAAAAACACCTCCAGATTGGATGTTAGGGTTCATATTGCTTAAGATAACTTTATTTCTTCTTTTTAATAATGAAGGTATTTTGCCTGATTGTCCAGAATTTGGTTTTACCATTGAAATAGATATTGCTTTTATTAATTCCGATTTTAGATCAATTTATGACTCTATGTCAGAGTATCCCACAACATTCAAATCTTCTCTTTACATTTCTTCCATTAAAGCACTTATTATAAAGAATTGTAGCCTATAGTGAATATTCAAATACTAGAAAAAGCTAGCAAACATTATTAGTACTCCAACAAAGTTAACTTTAGCTTCTCTCAGAAAAGTTAACAACGAAACACAGAAGCATGTGTCATACTGCCAATTTAATGATTTACTTTGCTTAGAAAATTTATTTCTTGAAAAAAAAAAAGCATCATTTACTAGGGTTTGTATAAAGTGTACTATGTATGTAAATTTATTAATATTTATTTTGTTTGCAAGAATGACTCCCAATTAGCAGATAGGGCAAAAGCTATACCCAAGGGGCGCCTGGGTGTCTCAGTGGGTTAAGCCTCTGCCTTCGGCTCAGGTCATGATCTCAGGGTCCTGGAATCGAGCCCTGCATCTGGCTCTTTGCTCAACCGGGAGCCTGCTTCCCCCTCTCTGTCTGCCTCTCAGCCTGCTTGTGATCTCTGTCAAATAAATAAATAAAATCTTTAAAAAAAAAACAACCCAAAAAACCCATACCCAAGACTGACTGCTCAGACCACGACTGCTCCCCTCTATAAACTTCATGTCTGGTCCTCAGGACATACTTCCTATGTCAATGTTTCCTGTGCTTGCTCTTGATGTGTAATCAGTGGATTCCTTCACCCAATAATGACTATGTTGAATGTTAAGCTTTAATTCTCACAGAAGAATTATATAACATTTCCCCCCACTTTCTTGACTTCTTGACTGGTACCTCTTGAGATTTAGAAAAACTTGTAGATTTCTGAAGAAATGCCAGGAAGAATTTCCTACCAGAAACACAAGTACCAGCTAGTTAGGTACATTTAGAAAGCATTTGCTTTAGGTTAGGCAGAACCTTTAAAAGAAGAATCAATTTTCATCTTACATCCCTATGCCACTTAAAATTCAATCCTGAGTTAAACAAAGGCTTTACATTCAGATTATATAAACACCAGAAATACACAGTTACAATCACTGGCTAATACATATTTTGAGTCAAATGAACACTCAATATATGCTGAATAAGCAAGAAACAGTACAGAATTTTTTTACTATACTACTTTGAAAGGGGGAAGAGTACATACTGCTGAACAAAATGACAAAGGAAATTGCCTTTAGATTCCTGTCTCCTGAAAGAGATATTATTAATTCTATGAAAGTTCTTTCCAAGTTCAAAAGGTTAACTTTTTTAAAGGCAAAAGTATATTGGAACCTCATGTTAAACATAAACACAAACACCACCTATCAAGAAAGAGACAGAATTTATATGACTCAAGACCAAACCATTGAGAAAAGGAAAGTAATTCTCAATGTGCCCTTCTATTAGAATCTCAATTTACACCAGAAAAGAAAAATAAAAATTCTTCTTCTTTTTTTTTTAAATGATTAATTTGAAGGGAGTCTTGCACCTGTAGGGAGTCAAATATCAACTCACTGGCTGTGAGAAGAATCAAATGTAATTGACCTCCTCCTATACATGCTTAGGGCCTATACTACCCTCTCCCTTCCCTCCGAAACCATCCTAACTCAGAACTCAACTCTCTTGTCTATGACAAAGACCAAACCTAATGTCCAGTCCTTGTCTTCTTCCTGCTTTACTTCTTTTCTTCTTCTTTTTTTAAAGATTTATTTTGAGAGAGAGAGAGAGAGAGAAAGAGAGAGAAAGCGCACATGTGAGTGGGAGGATGGGCAGAGG